AAGCACTGGCTGGAGTCAAAGGTTAGGGCGGACACAGGACAGCACAGAGTCTAAAGGAATCACTGTTGTAGAGCAATAGATGAGAGAAGGAAAATATAATAACAATAATCACATCCTGTCTGTTTCTGTGATTTCTTATATAGACAGAGAAAATTACAAGATTGCTCACGATTACAATCAGAAATTATGGCATTAAACGCAATGGCTATGGTGCAGAAATTATTGCTCTGATGTGTTCTTTCCTACTCTGTGTGTGTGTGTGTGTGTGTGTGTGTGCTCATGTACTGTATGTTATCTGTGGAATCATCAGGCTTCATAGCTATTATATGAATTGTCCAAGGTCAGGGAAGGTTGTGGCATGCATTTAGCACCAGTGACCAATGCCGAATGCAAAGGTCAAAGTGGAATTGCCCGAGTCGGAGCACTACGGCATTTGCTCATCCACATTTATGCATCCCATCGGCGGTGATTTATGGCTGGAGATAAGCGTACGGATGGGAAGAAAACACTCTCTTTCTCCTATCCTGTCAGACTCAGTAAATATACTACTCACTTATATCAATCACCGTGTCACTGTGAATCGCCACTGTATGCTTCCAGCTCAGATTAAAAAACTGCCTTTGTCTCACGCTATGCCTGCTCCCCTCCAGCTCTGGGGAATCACACTGGCAGCATTGTTGCTATTTCACAAGCTTTATATTAGCATTTCAAACAGCTGTGCTACAAAAGTACTGAGTATACTCACAGTCAGCACAATTCTTTATTTTTATGTAAAAAAATGTATATATATAGTATATCAATCATACACTACATATTTCTGATCTTGCAAATAAAAAAATCATGCATAAGAACAAAGTAAGAAAATATCTATCTTTTTTAAAATGTGAGGCTTTTTTATTTTTCTTTCTAGGATGATGTTGGTTTTTTTTTTTGCTTTTAAAAGATTTCATTGAATTTGGTTTTCATATGAAAAAAAAAATAATCCTTGCATTGTTATTTTTTCAGACTTTGACAACGAGTTCAGACTCAAGTAGATTTTATGCTTATAAAACAAATCATTGTCGATAAAGATCAATTTATCCTCTTTTGTCCTCTGCAGCACAGCATTCCAGTGCTGCGGCCAGATTGACTGCTCAGCATTTTGTAGCAGCAACAACTCTAGGGGAACTTGGCCGGGACGGCAAATAACTGGATATGCCGGCTTTTTCAATTGGGTAGGCCTCCTGAGCCTGTTCCTGCGTGCCTCCTGCTCTTTAAATGTGAAAAACAGCCCATCGCTGGTGCACCACAGCCTTCACAGACTATCCCCAAGTGGTTCAGAATCCAGCCAGGGAAACATCCAAGAAGAACACACATTTTTGAACTGCTGGCCAAAGCAGAAACATGGTCTAGAAGGCTGCTTTTTAACCCTGACTGTAAAGAAGTACTTTTCCTTTTGTCTAATACTAATAAATTTGGTCTTTACTATACACTGTATGTTATGTTTTCTCACGCTGAGATCACAGAATGATAATGGTCAACATTAAACAAGTACTAATGTTGAATACCATACACTTTATGGTAAGTGATTTCAATGCAAAAAAAAACAAAAACAAACAAAAGAAAAAACTCTCTTTCAATGCAGAAATGT